CCCCCCCCCCCACCCCATACTCCCTTGGCACACAGATACCCATCTCTTCATCCCTCGCTCGTTCTGTTGTTTTCATTGTATTTTTTTTTTATTAATCCCCCTATCTAGGTTAAACCTCCCGGGCCACCGAGAGTCTAGCATCTCTTCAACCCTTCCTTTCACCGCCCATCACCTACTTCATTTGTGGTTAAAGAGTGCATTAAATAATCATAATAAGCATTAATGGGGATTCCCTGAGAATTGAAGCCAAACTGCATGGATTACATTAGGAAAACCTTGTGGCATGTCGTTATTGTCTTTTTTTATTCTTTAATTTGACAAAAGAGCCTCTTGTATGTGGTTTTCTCACAACTAATCACCTTTCTTTCCATCTCTGTCATTATGTGATGTCATGCACTCGGTCTAAATACAGTACATGTGTAAATCCCTCCATCCCTTTTTGTCTCTTGCACACAAACACCCACAGTGAGTGTGAGAGAGAGAGAGAGAGAGAGAGAGCCAAGTTCAGTCCTGATCATTGGGACCCTCAGGACCACACCAATTTAAATCTTCCATTCACTTGCTTAAGTTAGACTCAAATGTGTTTGAATATGGTATAATTAAAATAAATATACCGATTTCTATCCCCACAATATAAATAGCTTTTTTATTAGCTATAGTTGTTAGTATTTTAAACAAACACTCTGCACTGGAAGGACTTCATTTGCCCCTGGATGTTATGGATTTGCTATTTCTGCAGACAGAACATTTAGTTTTTGTGGGAACGGCATCGACGACATAGTTGTGGATTATTTTAACACGAATTCTGACTGAGAACAATTAATTTAGGAAGTTTTTTTTATTTCAATGACTCTGGGCGTTCTTTCGCGCGACTGTGGACGATGATTCAAGTTCTCCGCGGATTTCAAATCAAGAGTGAAACTGACGGATAGGCGTCGGGATTTGAAGGAGTCGTTCCTCTCTTGAAACATCCCTCAGGGATTCTCGCCTCTCTCCGAAGACCTGTTTCCCATCATCCGTCAGCGAGCACAAAGACCAGGCGCATACTGGAACTGAAAACACTGTAGTTTTCTCCTGAAGCCTTATACAACTCAGGATGCAAACCGTTCCAACGGTCAGCGGGCTCTGTAAACGCATCTAATCGCAAACAAATTCACACGAGCGTGACAGACGTGGAAGCACCCACATTAGGCTGCTGCAAATTAAGGTGGGCAACCGTTTTAAAATGTGCCATATACAATTTTATAGCATATTGTGCGGTTCATTTACAGTGTTAATTGGTCTGCGTGCTAAACATATGACAGTTAATTTATTACGGGAGACCATTCAAACAAAAGATTCTCACAGTGTGTGTTCAAAAGCCAAGACAACGCGCTGTGAGTATGACTGGATATGATTGCCATAAACAAGTATGTAAATCAGCCAGAGAGAATGAGATCGATTGGTCTCGAGCCGGGTCAACTCACACAAGTGCAATCAGCAATCAATTCTGTCCTATTTCGTTTCTAGTGATTCTGAAGTTTTCATCGATATCTATTAGATTAGCATCAGTCCTGTTGTGTGGATGATTGTATATTTATAAATACCTTCATAATGAGCTCCGTTAGTCATTGACACTACACACAACTCAATGCAAATACAAATAATGGCCCCCTGTGACCTTTATAAACTTGTTTGGACCCTCAGTTGGACCGTCTAGCACCGAAAAATGCCCTCACTCAAGCATAAATGTATATATGGCTGGCTCTATCAATAGTGTGATTTTATATTGACATTTTGGTGTATATCTACATATTGTATGTAATTCTGTAATTCTCAGAAAACACAAGAGCAGGTTTTAGTTGTTTGAGAGCAGGCAGCTTATTTCAACAGAGTATTATAATTTATAATATCCCTTTTTATTGTTAATGCTGTATGACTGACTATAATACTGTCAACATTGGTCTTTTATTGGACAATGATTTCAGATTTATTACGGTCAAGGGGCATTTCAAGCCTTGAATAGCCTATTCATGGAGGTTATTAGTGATTATAATTTGAGATTTTGTATTTATTTATTGCAATAATTTACAGATTTTTTTTACATTTATTTATTTATTTTAGCATGGTTCAGTCTTAGTAACCAATGATTATTCATTTTCTTTATTATATCAAGCTGGCGAATTAATAACACTGACTATAATATGCAGGGAAGTCTAAATATTTTGAGCTTGGAAACCCTACTTCAGATGTTATTAAAAATGTTACAAGGAAATGGCTCCATTTTAGGCTACACATAATAATAATAACATCATACTCATGTCACTTTGTGAAAATTTCATTTGTTATAGTTTATTGCTCATGAAATGAGCTAAGTCACAGATGAACGTTTCCTCATAGTATTATAAAGTGGCAATTCCATCAAATCTAATGAGTTTTCAGTGATCTTAAAATGGCTTATTTTGGATGACAAACCCTCTTGATGACATCATTAGTAATCCTGGAAACAATTTTAGTTTTTTAGTTTTTATTTTGCATACTTATGTTGCGGATAATTATAGTGACGTTAAGGAATTGGATAGATGATGCTAAGTATTATTCAGTCCAGAACAGAAAAGAAAGAAAAAAAGCTAAATGTTTTGTCCCTCTATTGTTCTGCACAACGTTTTTCTTCCTTGCTCCATTTCCAAACTCGCATTATTGCCTTTCCGTTATGCAATGCGAGCCATCCTTATAACAAGCTGACAGAAGACATCATGTTCAGAGGTGCTGTAGTGTTCCAGTTTGAGTCACGGTCTGCATGTTTAACTGTTCCATAACACTGTTTACATTAATTTGGCTTTTATTCCCATTTGCATTTGAAAAGAGGACACTTATAATAATGCTGCACCAATTATACCACAATTCACCAGCTTATTGTCTTGACCCACTGCATGCTGGTAATGTTCTCAAACTGTAAATGAATAGCCTTCAGACATCATTATGAACAAAATGCATCAGACACTAGCATAAGGGTTATTTGTGATGGAGCCTGCAGTTTCTTGGTAATTTAGCGATGTGAGATGTTAACTGTTTTGGGAGGATGAAGTGGATGACAGATGACATATGCAGACCTTAGGAATGAAACTTAAGCCAGTGCTTACGCCATTTCTCTTTTTGGAAGGTTTTTGTTAATCAAATGATCTACCAACTTCTGGCAATGATCGAATTTTGAGGCAGGCCAAGGTTACCTGTTTGTCCAAACCATGCCAGACAGGGAGAGGTTTTTGGTAGAATTTGGAACAATAGCTATTTTAAATTTTTTTTCTGTTTTATGCAGATAGTGGTGCAGAAATTACATTTCAATAGGCCCATCTTTATTTCATAGTGATGTTGAAATCCATAAACCCTAATCAGGTCATAATGACTTTGGAATGTGCAGTATATAAGTTTACAGAAGTTTAATAGTGTTAGAATATATTGCATTTGATTATAAATCAAAATCAGGTTATAAAGTTAATGAAATGGACCCATATAGATCCCATGAAGTAATTAAGGAACACTGGGTCAATGATGAGTTATTAGTGATATACATAGGATCATGAGCTCATAATTAAAATAGAATGTATAGCCTGATGATTTCATAATGAGTCCCATCATGAGGACATGATGATTTCAGAATGTATATGCCCAGATGAGGTCATAATTATTTTGTGACGTATGTCTCATGAAATAATAATGATACTAGAAGGTGCATGCTGCCCTTGTATAATTTGAGTGCATATAGTCCCTCAAAACCCCATAATGATTTTTAAAAAAATGTATTGAGTTCTCATGAGATCTAATGGTTGCTCAGTGTCTGGCTATCTTAGAAACCTCTTCTCTTATCATTGATGATCTAATCACTTAATCCATGTTGTTTTCCCAGTGGACCTCAGTCCTGTTAATGAAAATGTTTGTGTGTGTGTGTGTCTCTACTTAACCTACTTTCCTTTGTTTCTACATTCTCCTCTTTCTTGCTCTTGTTTGTTTTGGAGTCTTTGGGGGTGACATTTTTTCCTCCTTTTTTCACATCAAACGATTACATGTTGATGTGTGATAAAAATCAAACAGAATCAAATCATTTTATTGTCATTCAACCTTATATAAATGTAATGATAAGAGAACAAGTGTAGCCCACACACTACATTTATACTAATAACTTATCTATTTTACAGAATAAACAATATGCACACAACACAAATATTAAAAATGTGATTTAATATTATTTATTTAAATCTGTTTCAGACAATAAATATTGAAATGGTTTGTTATTGCAGTTTTTTAAAAAATAATAATTTATATTTTATAATGGATTTGTATAATTTTTATAGTGGATATACTTCATAGTCTTAGGACACAAGTTAAAAACTTTAAATGTAATCTGTACATAAAAGTAGTAAAAATAAATGATAAAGGCACGGCAAATCGTTTATGAGATGGTTTAACCGTCATTAATAATGAAAAATATCTATATGATGTGTAGATGAAGTGATGTATAGAATATTATATAGCCGACTCAGTCCGATCTTGGTGTGTTCTCTTTATAATTACATGTTTCTCAATCATTTTCAGATACTTGAGAAAGACAGAGGTGGTTTACAGTAGTCATGGCAGCCATAGCAACTGTCCCTAACTACACCCCATCGATATGGGTACGGTTATGCCATGCCATTCCTCGCCTGGACTTGACTCTGCAGACCCGAGGCAGCGTGTTCACTCCAGACAGCTGGGAGTATCAGCAGGTAACCCTCTCTCTCATTCCCGCTCACTTGTCCCCTACCCTCTCCTTGTTTCTCACTTTCAGAAACAATTTTCACACCTGACAGCTGGTGGTGGGTGCACTCATCATTTGGAGCGACACATTTATTTCTGTCTCGTTCTCTATTTTCTCTCCTTTGTGTGCACCCTCTCATTTTGTCTAAATTATATCACATATATGCAATATAATGTATGAACAGTCAGAAATGTATTTTTTCTTGCTGTCAGGAGGAGTATTTTTACCTTGACTCGCACAATATTCTCTCACTCACAGCACTGTTATATTCTAACACAGACTATTAGAGAGACTAAACTGAAGTGTTATAGTCAAAACCATTAAAGGCACTTTTCTGTCTGCAGTTTAAAAATATATTGACTCAAAATTGAGTTTGTATCTCACATTCTCTGATGTTTAGTGGCTAAAGAACCATAGACTTGCAATATCAGAGACTAAAAGCATGATGGACTGATGTAAAAATGATAACTCCATTATGACAGAGACACATTTACTGACATAAGTGTATGTTTCCACATCAGTAAGATATTGATAAAAGATATGAGTATAAATGTCCAGCACTAGGACAGGAACTATGATGCAGTGACTGTGGCTTAAATAAGGGTTAATTTCCATTTTTGGTTCAGAAAGCATTAAATGCTTGTTCGTGAATGCACGTTCCAGAAAGGCTCTTAGTCTAAGGAGGTGATATTTCAGTGACAGGTTATGTATAGTAACATTATAATGCCAGTTAGGTGGTGAGAAATGATTTATGACTGAATCCCTGATTCATCTATTCAACCGATTTAACCATATACCGATTAAATCAGGAACAAAACAAGTGATGTTTTTTATGAATGAGCCATTGAATCGTTCATTTAATGGATTTGTTTAAAACACTGAATTATTCTGTGTGTAGTACTGTGACGTTGTTTGGAATTATTTTCATTCACAGAGAAAAAAACAGACAATGTAACTGGAAATATTGTGTCTAAAATACTAAATATTAGTATTAAAAATACTAAAATATAACTTCTTGTTCATTGAACTTCTAAATAAAAGCTATCTCCTTCTCAGAAACAGTCCAAGACATCATTGCTAGTTCTAACATGACAGATGAACATAACTAATAAGAACATGTTTTAGACACATATTCGCTAGCATATATAAATATATTTTAATTCAAAAAAGTTCAAATAGAAATAGGAATTACATACCCCTGGATGCAAGTACTTTCTCCTATTCCAACCTAAGAATGCAGACTTGCAGAGACAACGATAAGTACGCCTCACCTAAATTGCAGGCTGATTTTCCATAAAAAAGGTGCAACCAATGCAAATGTGGTGCTATCAAAACATCACAACCAGCCTGACAGTGCAACTAGGGTTGTAACGGTATGAGATTTTCACGGTATGATAATCGTCTCAGAAAATATTGCGGTATCACGGTATACGGTATTAAGCAATCAAAACAGGTATTGTTTTTGGTTGAACAAGTGTTTGAAAGAATGTGTTTATTCAAATTTCATTCATCAAAAACAAGTAATTTCATCACTGATTATTTATTAGTTTAACAACTTATATTTATTATTAATAATTCATAAAAATTCATAAATTCTGGTTTGACTTAATTTTTCTGGATTCTGTACTTTTATGATTTAATACAAATATACTATCAAAAATGGTGGTAGTGAAATTAATGCATAAAACTAACAATTTAACTCATTTTTAAAAATGTAATCAAATAAAAATAACCTTTATCCTTTTATGCTTTTGCAAAGGGCTGCACAACAGAGATTTACTAAATAAAAATGAGGGAAAAAATTATATTCCTTACACATTTTTATGTAAATTATTATTATTATTTTAGAAGTAGGCTACATTATAGTACAATCGTAATTTCTGTCAATTTCTTCGAGTTAAAAAGCGTACCTTTATTTTGACGGGTTGTAGTGAAGAGCTTTGAGTGTCAGAATGTATTTGACAGTGGTTTTCTCAAATAAAATGATGAAATGATTATTAATTGTTCTCTCAGTGAGGCCCTCAGTGTTTGTGTTCACGTCCTCAGATATTGAGACAGCAGGCGCTGTTAAACACTATGAGTGGCGATAAAGTGAACATGGAGCACTTTGCATTCACAATGCACATTAAGGGGGGGGGGGGGGGGGGGGGTGTGGGGGGGGGGTGGGGGGGGGGGGGGGGGGGGGGGGGGGGGGGGGGGGGGGGGGGGGGGGGGGGGGCTGTCCTGGCGCCTGGCACCCCTCTGGCGCCGGGCCTGACAGAAATCATAAGGCTTTAACCTTAAGTTATAATTGGGACATAGCTGTATCTGCACGGAGGGATGGTGTTCTGAAATATAGGTAAACATGTTCGATGTGTTTCCTCTTTTTGCAGCCGCTTTCCAACCACAGTGTTTGCAAACTGTGTCTGTCCTCGAGGACAAATAAGCGTCCGTCTTTTCTATATCCAAAGTATTCCCATACTGCCAATTTTATCTCATATTTCGATGTGGGATAGAGATTAGAGATAACGGCCTCTTTCTCTGATGTTGTCTCCGCTGTACGTGTGGGTGGAGCAAGAGAACAGTTAAGTGGAAAGTTGTTGCCTAGGCGCAGGTGAGATTCTGCATCTGTTATTTTCTCCCAATATCATAGATAAGCAAATGTACACGGTATGATAATCATACGCATTTACATCGTGGTATATCGTCATATCGTTACAACCCTAAGTGCAACATCAACTATTATAATGCATATGTTTGCTGTATGTTTGTCTGACAAATGAGGGACAGACCTGTTTAAAATCAGTCAATATAGAGTGCTTCTTCAGTGGCCTTGCATGGTTCCAGAAGTATTTTCCACATTCTTCTGCCCATAGGAATTTTTTTTAAAGTCTGTTAAAGAGTTATAAGCCATTCAAATAGAAGTTTGTATTTGTAATGCTGTGATTCACCTCGGAATTCTGAAGGAATTCTGCATTACAAAGACTTAAGGCTATTACTTTAGAATATTTTATTATACAAGTATGTAAGTATTGAAACAATGTAGTTTACTTTTATTACAAAATAACAAGATACTAGTATGCAAATACTAGTAGTTTACAAGTGTAGGGAGACTCTCAATTGCATCTGTTGCAGTGCTTCACGAAGTGGTTGATCACTGCAGAGCTCCTTTAGCATAGTCATTTGCCACGATTCTGATTGGTAGATATTTCTCTGCAGGATCATGGTTAGTGCATTTCTTCATTGGGAATTGCACTGTAAAACATGATTTTGTTTGAAATAATTCAGATAAAATAACTTCAAAAGAAGTGTTAATCATTGATAAACAACATCTTCGCTCGTGGTAGATCTGTTTTTAAATTAACGTTAAAAGTCAATGCCTCTATGGAGAAAACAAATGGGATTTTTACTTCTGTTGCTATTTTGTTCAATTCCATTTGATAATGCTAGCCAAAGCAGAAATTAAACAGCCGTTGTAAGGTTACTCTTAAAAAAAAAAAAGAAATAACTTCACCACAAATTGATAAAGTTGTAAGAGGCAAAGCCAGATTATGCTTGGATGCTTGAATAGGTTTACAGGATAAGACACGGATGATAAGAGAAAGATGTGCTGAGAAATAACAGACCGTGAGAGAGCAAGAGAGGAGAAACGAGAGAGCGAAATACTCGTGGATATTAGTGGGAATTGGGAAGAGAGGGAAAATCAACGAAGAGCAGAGGGAGCGAGAGATGAAAAACAAGAGAGAGAAGCAGTGAATGTATTTAAGTAGGTCACAGATTATTAATAGAGATCCAGTGGCGTGGATAAAAAGAAAGAAAGGGGGAAAACAGTGAGGGATGAGTGAGCGGAAGAGAAAGCATGGAGAGAAACCGCGGGGAAAAGAGAGAGTGGGGAGAGAGTGATAGAGAGAGAAACTGAGGAAGATGGATTGGGAACAGACTAAAGATGAATAGTATATGAAACATGAATACACAATATGTGTTTGAATCCAGCGGAAAGCTTTAATTACACCTCCTCTTTCTCTCTCTTTGAGTGGAGCATCCATGCTGTATTAGCCAATAAGATCAAAGAGACATCCTCCATTTTATGTCACACTGCTTTCTATACAATACATGCATGTGCTTGAATGCTATGCAGCTATGCAGTATGTATATTCTGTGCTAATTTTTATAATGAAAAGAATTTGTTGCAGGATTTTCTAATTTTCACTCAGACATTCCCATATGAAACTGTAATATATGTACATGTATTACATTTCCATATATGAAATAAACGGTCACATATATAAAACCTATTAGAAATTTGAACATTTTCATATAGTAACATATATAACTAGCCCATACAATGCATGTTTATGCATGTGAAAACACGACAATACATGTTGATGATATTATTTAGGTAAATATAACAGATATACATGTATTAAAAAAAAAAGACAAAACCATATATAAACATACAGATTTTTTGTGTGTGTGTATATATATAATTATTATTATTATTACCACATGTACATATACACATTTTACTATGGGGATTTTATGTGTTTTATCTCCATCTACCCAGAGACTGTACGAATGAGAAAATTATATATAGGTAATATGTGTATCAATATCACATATTGTATTGTCATATATTACATTTCTGTTTGGGTTGCTGTTAAATTTCACAAATAAACAAGTAATTGTGACTAACTTGAATTAACAAGTACATTGAATTAAAAATGAAAATTTGAAGTAGACAGACTGAAATAGTGTTTTCTTGTAAAACATACTCCAATAATCTTTGTATTATTTACAACTTTGAAAAGTATTTATTTACAGTGTACCCTAAAATTTGAGTTGAATGATAATCAGATTCAATACTTGATTTCAAATCCATTGCTGATTGTTTTTTTAATACCAATGACACCATCTAAAATCTGATATCATGTGGTAGACCAGCTAATACTCAGTAAAATATATATGTAATAATAAAGTCTTGGTTGTCCTTTCTTCTTACTCATTCTCCATCCTCTCTTTCCACAGACTCTTCTGGTCCTTTCCAGCTTCTCTGCCATTGCTCTCGTCCTCTCGTTACTTGTAGTTCTCTCCTTCCTCATCCACTACTGCTGCTGCCATTGTGGTGAGGGCGGCCGGGATGCAGAGGAAGAGGAGGAAGACGATGATGCCAGCGGCAGAAAGGGGCGGGGCATCTGCTGTGTCACATGGGTATCGGTTGCAGCCGTCACATTGTGTTGGTAATGCCTGTTAATGACAGTAATTTTCAGATGCCAGTGATTACTCTCTGTGGAGCAGACATTTTTAACTCAAAAGATAATAAAAGCTCATGAACAAGCAGTACTGCAAAACACATCTTTAAGATTTGTCATGCTTTTATGGTTCGCCCTTCTGGCACGATAGTCATACGATGCAAAAATTATATTTTATATTTTTCGAGTAAAGGTGCGGTCACAATAGACTTTGTGCTCGATTCAGTTCAATTTATACACATGTGAAGTACAGAGCAGAATACCAGAGAAAAGTTTAGTGAATAAAATAAAATATTAAAAATGTTCCCTATTGTATTTAACTCACTCCATATTGTGCTTTCACACATCAGAGTGCAGAATAAGAAAACTTTTCAGGGCTTCTCTTATTAGCAGCAACCTTAAACTTACTGTCCATATCTGTAAAAGCTAAACAGTAGCTTTTTTCCCCCCACTTCTAGACTTGCATTATAAAGATATCATGCTTTGTTGTAAATAAAGCTCTGTTTCATTTGCACATTTGCAAGGGATGGTTTCCTTCAATTATGTTCTCTCAGTACACATACTGGCAGAACACCAACCCATTTCATATATTCAGGGCAATGAATATGAAACCCAATGCTTTTTCATGCCTCATTGATCTGAACCATTAGCATGATGTATTAATGTTCTTGAAGTCACACATAAATTGTTTGTGTAAATTAGCATTGTTTCTGTGAGAACTGGTTTGGTTTGCTCTATGCATGATGCAAACGTTCTGATGCGGCACGTGTTCCGCCCCCATGACATCACCCCCTTCCCATCCACTTTGGCCTCTTTTCTGAAGGATTCTGAAGCTAGACACTGATTTACAGATGACTGCATATATGCATGCACACCTTTACTGCTTACATTGCGATTATATTTTCGAAATACACATTTCTGCTTGCTTTGGCTTAATCTGGGTCAAACAGTTAGCGAGAGGCTGAGATTTGCTATTTTTAGCAGGTTGGAAAGGATTGGACAAGCATCTGGCCCAAGCATTAATCTGAATATTTGAATGTGAAATAGATATGTAAATGAGTGAATTTTCAATGTTGTTGATTTGGATTCCTATGCTCTTTAGTGTGTTTGCATTGAAACCATTTAATATGAATACTACCATTTAAAAGTTTGGTATCTTTCTAACAAATTTATACTTTTATTCAGCAAGGATGCATTACATTGATCATATGTGACACTGACAGTAAAGATATTTAAATATTGTTAAAAAGATTTCTATTTTGAGTAAATGCTTTTGTTTTGAAACTTCTATCTAACAAAGAATCCTAGAAAGAAAAAGTTTCGCACAAATATTGAGCAGCACAACTTTTTTCAACATTTTTAATTATAAGAAATGTTTCTTGAGCACCAAATCAGCATATTAGAACGATTTCTGAAGGATCATGCGACACTGAAGACTGGAGAAATTATTGCTGAAAATTCAGCTTTGCCATGATGGGAATAAATTACATTTTATTTCACACAGTGTAATTATATTTCTCAGTATTACAGTTTGTTCTGTATTTTTGATCAAATAAATGCAGCCTTGTTGAGCATAAGAGACTTCTTTCAAAAACATTAAAAAAAAATCACCGACCCCAAACTTTAAGTGTAAATGTACATAATCTATCTTAAATACCAGTGTGTCTCATTTTGTTTTCCTCTCTCCCTTTTTTGATTCCCTGTTCATGTTCTCTTTCTTCCCTCTCACTTTCTCTTTCTTTGTCTTCTCTCCTTGTTTCCTTGTTCATATTTCTGCTTTTTGTAGTGTTGCCATAGGCATCGGTTTCTACGGCAACAGTGAGGCGAACGATGGGATGTATCAGTTGACCTCATCCTTGCTCACTGCCAATTACACACTGGCTTCCATCGATCTTCTGGTGAGAACACAAATGCACACACACACACACACACTCATACATACACAAAAGCTTATTCCATCAATCTCCTTAAGCACCAGGTGACCAAAATAAATGCAGGACGTTCAGAAAACACACTAAATGGTTTTATTACACTGTGATTGCAAGTAAGCGATCGGGGGAATTCAGAGTGAGAGAGTGTTTGAACGTGTTTTTGTGTGAACAAGTGAGATCTCTCCGGGTATTGATTTAGCTGGTTGCTCATATGGTCAATCAATGAATGCACGTCAATCTGATTAATGACCTACTTTACTTCTACTGTACTGTTATAAGTCCCTCTCCCTCCATTGCAACTTTTTCCATTCAATTTAATTGTCCTTTATCTTCCACATATCTTTTCCACTACTCTTTTCTTTTGTATTCCAAGCTATACTGTTCATATATTAGATCTGGATACAAATGCATTGGGTTAATGCCATAATTCAAAGCAAAGGATCTTTGAATCCTCTTGCATACCCAGGTTTCAGACACCGTAGTCGGGCTGCAGCAGTCTGTCTCAGGGCCCTTGACCTCCATGGAGGAAGTGTTCGGTGGACATAAGCCGGCACTCGTGCCCACACGCTCCTGCAGGCGTCTGTCAGAGCGAGTCATGTCTCTCCTCTCCAACCTGACACTGGGAAGAGGTCTGATCCCCATTGCAGATGGATTTTACAGGGCAAATGGAAGTGAAAGCATAGTGGCAGCGCTCACCCCAGCACCTCCTTCTGTAGCCCCCACTCTCAGTCCATCCGCCAACAGCATTCCTGCACCCTTCTCCCCTGGCTGGGCAGCAAACACACTCATGGTGAATGAAGACTACAGGTGAGGAGACATCAAAGACATGAGTGCTAATAGAAAAAGAAAACGTTTGTGAGTTCACTGCTTATAAATGCTGATATTCAACTGATTAAAAATATATCACAATATGCTTAAAGGGCCATATTCGATGCCTTTATGACTTTTTATTCAAGATTTTTGAAGCTTAGTTTTTATGTTTAAATATATATTTAGGTGGTCATAAATTTTGTCATTAATCACTCGTCGTTCCATAACCAGTAAGACCTTCGTTCATCTTCAGAACACAAATTAAGATATTTTTGATGAAATCCGAGAGCTTTCTGACCCTCCATAGATGGCAACGCAACTGAAATGTCGAAGGCCCAGAAAGGTAGTAAGGACATCGATAAAATAGACCATGTGACATCAGTGGTTCAACCGTAATCTTATGAAGCTACCGAAATGTTTTGAATACTTTTTGTGTGCAAAAAAGACAAAAACAACGACTTTATTAATAAACAATTTCTTCTCTTCCATGTCAGTCTTCAACGCGTGTTCATGACAGTACCACAGCACATGTGTGTGCATTTCTCTGCCTGCAAACAAGATGCAGGGCATCCAGGTGTTCTGTGCGTACAAAAGGTATGCTTGTAGCTTCAGAAAACGGTTCAGCCACTGATGTCACATGGACTGTTTTAACGATGTCCTTACTACGTTTCTGGGCCTTGAATGTGTCAGTTGCGTTGCTGTCTATGCAGGGTCAGAAAGCTCTAGGATTTCATAAAAAATATCTTGATTTGTGTTCCGAAGATAAATGAAGGTCTTACAAGTTAGGAACGACATGAGGGTGAGTAATTACTGACAGAATTTTCATTTTTGGGTGAACTATCCCTTTATTTTAAAATGTCATTTATTCCTATGATGGCAAAGCTGAATTTTCAGCAGCCAGACTGGCACAAGCAACATTTCCTCTTATTATCAATGTTGAAAACAGTTGTGCTGCCTAATATTTTTGTGAAAACTCTTTTCAGTATATATTATCCACTCTCAGAAAAAGAAATGTACAAAACATGTACTACAGCTTGACACTGGGGCAGTACCCTCAAAGGGACACCTTTGTACCTTCTTTACTCATAAAGTTGTCATATTAAGGTAGTAATATGTACTATTATGAACGTTTTCGGGGGAAAAGGTACAAACGTGTCTCTTTATGGGTACTGCCCAAGTAACAAAGTACAATTTTTGCACTTTTTTTCCCCCTGAGATTGTAAAAAACAACTTTTTTCAACTGCATTATGCAAATGAAAATATGAATAAATGATGAATGAGAGGGGAAAATAAGAAAATAATGCAAAATTAATTGGGTTTCTGCAGTAGTACACTTTCTCATTTTCTCTATCTGCATTTTGCAGGTGTGACAAAAATTTATTTTGGACTCTGGGTGTAGGTTTTGAGATTTCACCATATTGAAGATGGCTGTGTTTGTTGTTTAGGTGGCTGTCATACGTGCTGCTGCTTTTACTGGATCTGGTGGTGTGTTTCTTTATTCTTCTGGGTTTAGCCAAACAGGCCCGCTGGCTACTTATTCTGTGAGTAACAATCACTGCTGACCTGCTTTAAGTGTTTAGTAGTCTTGACAATGCACAGCATTTTTGCATAATGTAAATCAAACATAAGCGTTCACAGTAGTGTGCTTGTTATGTATATTATGTATCTGAAATCCCCAAGATAGAAAATGCTTGCAGAAAATGGATTTTATTTTTGCTTACTGACACCCACTCTGGCACAGAGAGGCAGATGGTAAAAATGTGTTTGTGTGTATGCACTCATTTGCAGGATGACAGTGCTGGCCTGGTTGGCTCTGTTTCTGAGTTGGGGATCTCTCGGCCTGGAGACAGCCACAGTGGTGGTGAGTATTCAGGCAACGTCTATCCCGACAGAAAAACAACAGCTCTCTGCAAGCGGACATCCAGCACAGAATACCGCCATCTGTGTGTGAATGAGTGTGTGTGAGAGTGTGTCAGTGCGCTTTGCGGAGACATCACAAAAAAATCCAGACAATTAAAAGGTCACACCAGCCAAGATGCAGTCACTTATTGTGTGCTTATGAAAAAGGGAGAGAGGAATAGAGTGTGTTTGTGCATGTTATAATGAAAAAGGTTTTCCACTCTGGGAACTCAGCAGTCATGGCACAATCCCAAAAAGGCAGAAAAATAGGGCAGAGATTAAGGATGCTGCGTTGAAGATGAGCATAAGAGGTCTTAAAAGCAACAGGAAAAGAAACGAGTGAGAGAGTGACGTTGAGTGTTTCAGAGAGGAATACAGCAGTAATGGACTTAAAACAGGAAAGAAAAAATATATAAGTGTAAAAATACAAATGCAAATAAACAACCGTTCAAAAGTTTGGAGGCAGTAGGATTTTTTAAAAGAAATTAATTATTTTATTCAGCAAAGATGCATTAAAATGATCAAAAGTGGCAGTGAAGGCATTTATATTTCTTTTAACGCAAAAATATTAATATTAAGCACCAAATAAGTATATTACTGATTTCTGAATAATTAAAATGATTTCTGAAGGCTGGAGTAATGGCTGCTGAAAATTCAGCTTTACCATCATAGGAATAAATTACATTTCGAAATATATTAAAATATAAAATAGTTATTTTAAATTGCAAATTTGCAATAATATTTAAAAATATTACTGTGTTTTTGATCAAATAAATGCAGCCTTGGTGTGCATAAAAGAAAAAAAAACAAGTCTAAATGAGTTGAATTACTGAAATAAATGAACTTTTACATGACATTCTAATTTATTGAGATGCACCTGTATGTAGGATAAATGTTATGTCACCAATATTAACCTGACCCAAAATCTTAATGGCAATGCCGATGATGTGAAAAAGAGAACGAAAGAAAGAATGAAAGAAAGTGACAGGAAGAGATGGCAGTTGCTGGCCTTCAAAACAAGTGTTTCATTGTCCAAATCCAGCCAGCGTGAACAATTGCCTAGTATTCCCTCTTTATTATATATATATATATATACACACACTCTCTCTCTCACACACACACACACACACACACACACACACACACACACACACTCTCTCACGTTTTCTGTCCTCTTTTGTCTCTCTCTCTTTCTCCTGACCCTCTTTAGTCCTCTTATGAAGCTCTTGGTAATATTGAGTCCTATTCACTTTGATTAATCACCCAGATTCCATAAGGGAATGCAAGTGTGCTAAAGAGACAGACAGTGCAGTGTGGACAAGAGGAAAGATGGAAAACTGGTTGAGGGATGAGAAAAAAAGAGATTATAGGGGCAGTTTGTATGTGTCAGTGAATACTGTAGATCAATAGCAGTCAGAGCCGTGGGACAGAGAGACTGAGGGAAGTATGTCACTTGGTCACTGTGCCACACTGTTAACATCTCTCTTCTATATTTGCTTTTGCTCAATTCCCTTTCTTGCTCTCTTTTTCTCTCTCAGGCCCTGAGTGATTTTTGCTTTGACCCGAACACTTTTGTGCTTAACTCCACTCACTTCAACTCTAGGACAAGCACAGGTGCTGTAAAGCTTTTTCATATGCAATTTCTCTGTTTCAAAACCTATTGAGCTGCCTACATAGGCAGAATTGTAGGGCATCAGTTACACTCCCAATGTGAAGGCTGTACAAAAAGGCAGGTTAATCAGCTCACATTAGCAAAATTTAGTGTAAAATAGTGTAGCGATACACAAAGCACTGCTTACACAGAAGTCAGTTTCAAACCAAGCAACTTTCTGTTAATCAATGCAGTGAATCCACTGTGAAGTCTGTGGAGAAATCATTTACCCTCACACAAAATTCCCGATTGCTATTAAAATGACTGGATTTCGCTAAAATTAGCCAAACAACGGTAAATGTGACTGCACCTTATCCTGCCTTCTAAGATACCTAGATACCTTTGAGACAAATTCTATTAAAAGGAGGCCCAACCAAGTATTGAGTACATGTACAGTAAATGAACATACTTTCCAAAAGGCCAACAATTTACTAAACATTTTTTTTTATTGGTCTTATGAAGTATTCTAATTTGTTGAGATAGTGAATTGGTGGGTTTTTGTGAAATGTGAGCCAAAATCATCACAATTAAAAGAACCAAAGACTTAAACTACTTCAGTCTGTGTGCATTGAATTTATTTAATACACGAGTTTCATAATTTGAGTTGAATTACTGAAATAAATGAACTTTTACATGACATTCTAATTTATTGAGATGCACCTGTATGTAGGATAAATGTTATGTCACCAATATTAACCTGACCCAAAATCTTAATGGCAATGCCGATGATGTGAAAAAGAGAACGAAAGAAAGAATGAAAGAAAGTGACAGGAAGAGATGGCAGTTGCTGGCCTTCAAAACAAGTGTTTCATTGTCCAAATCCAGCCAGCGTGAACAATTGCCTAGTATTCCCTCTTTATTATATATATATATATATACACACACTCTCTCTCACACACACACACACACACACACACACACACACACTCTCTCACGTTTTCTGTCCTCTTTTGTCTCTCTCTCTTTCTCCTGACCCTCTTTAGTCCTCTTATGAAGCTCTTGGTAATATTGAGTCCTATTCACTTTGATTAATCACCCAGATTCCATAAGGGAATGCAAGTGTGCTAAAGAGACAGACAGTGCAGTGTGGACAAGAGGAAAGATGGAAAACTGGTTGAGGGATGAGAAAAAAAGAGATTATAGGGGCAGTTTGTATGTGTCAGTGAATACTGTAGATCAATAGCAGTCAGAGCCGTGGGACAGAGAGACTGAGGGAAGTATGTCACTTGGTCACTGTGTCACACTTTTGACATCTCTCTTCTGTATTTGCTTTTGCTCAATTCCCTTTCTCTCTCTCTCTCTCTCTCTCTCTCTCTCTCTCTCTCTCTTTCTCTCTCTTTCAGGCCCTAAGTGATTTTTGCTTTGACCCAAACACTTTTGTGCTTAACTCCACTCACTTCAACTCTAGGACAAGTACAGGTGCAGTAAACTCTTTCATACACAATTGCTCTGTTTCAAAACCTATTGAGCTGCCTATGTAGGCAGCATTGTAGGGCATCAGTTACTCTCCCAATATGAAGGCTGTACAAGAGGCAGGTTAATTACCGGTAAGTGTGGTACCGAAGATACCTAATTTTAGACAAATTATAATGCAGCATCACAGCATTCTTTGTGGGGAAGGCATTCCCACAATGCATTGCATCGAGCACCATTAAAGAATAACTCAAAGATGGCGGACGAGGTCAAATAAATGTTGATTACGAATATATTTAATTTAAAAACTAGCAATAAAGTCGTTCCATGTAATTAAAATGGGTTAATTTACCCAATATTTTTGTGTGCTATTCTAGCTTAGCTACAATGCTAAAGTCGCATTGGCAAATTGAGTCTCCCATGTGAAGCATAATTTGTGTTTCACATATGTAGTGTTCCAAATCAGCCACTTAGTTTACACTTAGTAGACACATGTTTACATGACAACAATGTAATAAAAACGGGAAGGTTTTTCCTTTGCATTTTTGAAAAGTTTTGCATACAGATGACAAACGATCCCCATTTACACAGATCCATAAATGTGACTAAAAACGCTGTATTATGCAGGCCAGCAGTTGGCGATGTCACACATGTGCATGATGCTACCATTTTCACAAATTTACAAAAAGATGAAAATGGTATTCGTACACTTTTTCAAAAATGTAGATTTTCAGGCCCAAAAACGCCATTGTCGTGTAAATGAATGGCCAAAACGCATATAATGTTTTTTGTTAAAAACACAATTTTTAACATTTATGACATTTAAATACCTCATTAGGTTCCCTGACAGTTAGAATACTGTCTTAGGGGCCATTCACACAGAGCGCATTTTTGCAAGAGCAACACGCATGGAAATGGAATGTAAAAAAAATAATAATTATCTTTATCTAGAAAAAATGAAAAAGTAGACCACTGGAATACAAAACCGTGTTCTGTGTGAACGGCCTTTGGAAGGTAGCTGTCTATGTTGTCAGTAAGCAGTGATACAGCTCACTAAGTTTTGGAACAAGTCTAACTGTCCATCTGCCTTCATCTCTTACGCATACGCAGTCATACCCACGTCTTCAATCTTATTTTTCTCACTCTCTCTCTCTCTCTCTCTCTCTCTCTCTCTCTCGCTCTTCTCTCTAAATAGAAATCCTGGATTATTACCTAACCTGCAGCAGGAAAATGAGCAGCCCTTTTCAACAGGTGCGCAATCTTGTTACATGATGCTGCAGACGGTGATGTCATAGAGATTACTAAAGGAGTAAAAAATGTAATGTTAATGATATCACAAGGCAGAATTCCCCAAATATAAGAAATTATAATGATGTCACAAAGTACAGATTAAGACTAAAAAGCAATGCCAATTATGTCACTGTGGGGATGAACAGAATAAAGAGGATTATGACATTATAATCAAGATTTTGTAATCAAGACCCAGACAGTGTTTTTGGGGGAGCTGATGCATGAAGAATGGAATTTGATGTCGTAAAAGGAAATTATAAGGACAGTGAAATAAGAAAGGCCAGTTTCAAACTGTGAGTTTCACACTGACAGCATTTCTGATGCAAAATAGAACTGCTGCTCTATAGAGAAAAGAAAGTGTAGTGAATATTTCCTTTAATAACGCCCACAAATAATACTTTTATTGAGCCATTGAGAGTTATTATATTACTTCATAAAAGCAATCTCAAATTCACTCTATTTTCTAATTTTAAAAAAACAGTGCTTAAAGGGGTCATATGATGTTTGCTAAAAAGAACATTATTTGGTGTAATGAAATGTTTATGCGGTTTAAGTTTTAAAAAAAACACATTTTCCACATACTGTACATTATTGTTTCTTTTCTATGCCCCGCCTTTCTGAAACGCGTCGATTTTTACAAAGCTCATCTGTCTGAAAAGCGAGGTGTGCTCTGATTGGCCAGCTATCCAGTGCGTTGTGATTGGCCGAATACCGCAAGCGTGTGACGGAAATGTTATGCCCCTTATCATACTGTGATGCCCTGTCCGGCCGGAGTGACGAGACAAAAATATTAAAACCCATTATAAACGAGGCATTTGTTGCATCCAGTGGGGACATAATTACGGATTATAATGACTTATACTGTCTTTTTACGCGTTGCATTGCATCGTGCCGCGTAAACATAAAACCATGTCTGCATTTGTGATCGGAGAAATGACAAACAACAAGCCCTACTCTACACTGCTCAAAACTCGCATTTGAATCGTCAGTGGCAAATTCTTTAAATATAAAAAACGTACACTTACACTTACACTCTGTGAGTCAGAACAGCCGGCATTGTAGTCTACTCTCCCAGGATCAGGAAACAGTCCTCCATAAAATGTGCTGCACACGTCTGAATATTTGGGTTGAACTGGTGTGCAACAGTGTTGTAAATACAACTTAACCACTGATTTCTAGTCGTGTCCTCTTTTGGAAGGCCAGTGGCTGACTCTTAACTTTTATAAAGAATATCTCTTTGGATTTGAGACTTTAGTCTTTGCAACTTTACAGATCTTCTTTATGCACCAAGAGCTTGTAACACTCCAAAGAGAAAGGAAAAATGTAAATCGCATCATATGACCCCTTTAAATGCATGCGGTGTGAAACAATGTTATTTTAGTATCATTTATATACTGTGGTTAATATTTTGAATTAGATTTTTATATGATTATTTTATATTATTAATATTATTTTAATTATTATCATTTTTAATATAAAGTTTTAGTAATTTTGTTCTGTTTTTGTCATTTTAATTTGACAATGTAATATAATGTATTTTTGATTCATTTCCTCATTTATTAGTTATTAGTTATTTTAGTACATAAAGTGAAACTAAATGAAAATGGGAAATGTTGCCTTGCCAGTTAGCTGAAAAAAATATATATATACTGTATTTACATGTATTTATATATTAACATTTGGTTATTAACATTTAGTGGTATAGTTAACATTTATTGTATTTCAAGTAATCAAGTAATGAAAGTAATGTTAGTAATGTTTTTTATATAGTTTTGGTGAATTATAATACCCTTGGTATGAAAGAGGCCTTGTGGGGAATTAAAAATGCAATTACAGTTTTTAGCCTGTGAAATTCAGTTAAATCAGCAAAATTCTGTTTGTTGAACTGGCATAAGATACTGACCCAGTCCCAGAGAGCACTTTCCAGCATCCACTCTCACCTTTCCAGTCTGGAGAGAGACGCCCTCCCACGCTTTCCAAAGGCAGGGGTATGTTAACACTGCTTCTATTGCCATCAATACCACACTATGTCCTTCACTGACAGGAAAGATCAATAGCATCCGTACAGTAAAGTGGACGCAACATGCTGCTTAGCTACTGTGTTATTTCCCTTTTAGAAGTCACTCAGGGAGGTGCAGCAGATCCTCAACACCACTGAGGGCAACTTTCACCAGCTGGTCGCACTTCTCAACTGTCGAGGGCTGAACAAGGTAACCATAGCAACCTGTTTTCCAGCTCAGCCTGACTGCGAGTGAGAGTAATACTCTGCAGTTGAGCTTGATGAGCAAACTGTCTCAATCTACTACTGTTTTCACGTCACTCTCTCAGGATTATGTGGACTCTCTGAAAGGCCTGTGCTATGATGGGATGGAGGGGTTGCTCTATCTTTCGCTGTACTCGTTTCTCTCGGCTTTGGCGTTCACAGCTATTCTTTGCTCCCTCCCTGGAGCCTGGAGGAGTTTCCACAGGTGAGGTGAACTTCATCCCTCCACCCCGTCCAACATCCCATCTGCTGTTGTTTTCATGGCACAATATTCATGGTGTTAGTTATTCTGATTTGTTAAGATGAATGAGGTGCATAAAAAGTAGTGTTGCTTTATTTGCTTTATTTATTATTATATCATATTATATCATTTATATATCATGTGGTAATTATGTATTTATTTATTATTAAAAAATATATATAAAAATATAAAATATTTAAAACAAATTACATTTACATCGTTTGCAATTCTGTAAACATTCTTTTTCAGTATTTGGTATTTTCAACTTTTTTCTTTAATGCAGGGATTAATTGGGATGAGATTTTAAATTAATATTGTACACACATTTGCATGTTCGTGGTTCTCTGATGTCAGTTATTGGTCACATGACATGCAGGTAAACAAATAAAATATATATTATTTTGTAATAAATTCAGAATATAATATAAATAGTTTTATTATAAATATATAATAATAATTATTATTTTATTATCGTTTTTTAGTGTTTTATTTTGTTTATTTTTTAATTAATTATTTATTTATTTTAATTTAACATTTTTATTATTTGAATAATAATAATTATTATTGTTTTTTTATTTAAAATTTTTACTAAGTGTTTCTATTTTGTTTAATTTGAAATTCTTTATTGATTTATTTTAATTTTGCATTTTTAGGATATAAATAATAATTACCTTTATCAGCTCATGAACCCCTTGAAGTTCCCTCACAAACTATTTTGGATTATTACATTTGTTTGTCTTATATATATATATATATATATACATTTTTATTTTATTTTTTGAATATCCTAAAAAAAAGTTTTGTTTTTTTTTGAACAGCAAATTCTTAATGTGGTCTCAGACTTTTGCAAAAAAAAAAATTTTTATACACAGGGAAATACCCAAGACAAGGCAATGTCATCTTAATACATGTCAAATTGCTATCTAGGATGTATCTCTAACATGAATAATAAGATGCTCACTGGGAACCTGAAAATTTCTGATTTTTAATGCAAATAATTCCATCCTCAACAACAAAACCAGCCGGATGTTAATGGAGGTGGGCTGCTCGGTCTGGGTCGACTCAACTCCACTATAGTTTGTCATAAATGGGCCTGTGGTAACAGAGTAAACACTGACAACCGCACTCATCAGCAATGCACAGAGGAGAGAAATATGATCTCAACTTAAGGGCATTAGTGCTTAAAAGCACTTCACTCCTTTTATCTGGATATGGTATTAATGTCACTATAACCATTAGTTCAGAAAGCTCAGTCACTTACTATTGTTTCAGCCAGACTTGGTACACTCCCTCCAAGTGCCTGATGATGGCAAATCCAATTTGTTTTTTAAGTATCAGAGGTAGCTGCAGTGCTTAATTGCAGCAAAATTGTGTTCAGAGCACAAACTCCATTTAGATGGCAGATGCATAGATTACTGAAATGGCAAAGAGGAGCGAGACAGATTAAAGGATTACTTCTAGACTGGGATTATTTGATTTCATGACAATGTCTATATGTATATAGTTAAGAGAGATTTTTCAATAAATATCTTTAAAGCCTTTGTTTTGCACATAACATATAGCAGATCAAACGTATATTATTTCATGATGTATTTTTCACTTTCTTTGTTGCATAATTGGATGGCATAGCAATTCAGAGGAATATGAGGACTCCGACAGCGAAAGCGAGGACCCCTTCACTTCTCATCAGGCACGTAGACCGACGGCCACGGGCTCCCAGCGAGGGGCCTTGCCCCCCTTCTATAGTTACCAGGGGGCCGGCTGGACTCCCCCCTTTTCTAGCGCACCTCCGTTACCGTGAGTAACACATACACAGACACACAGACAGACAGAATGACCTTTCCCATACACCACCATGAGCTTGTGTAGATCACCCACACAGAGATTTTTCTTTCCTTTTGAATGATTTATTAATTGTCTGAAGTACTAGGAGTGCCACTTAAAAATCAAATGAAGGAATCATATCAGTTTATTAATTGAAAATTGAAATGTTATAAAAAAAAAATTAAACTTGACAAATAAATACACATTCGTAACTGTTTATTTAATTAATAGATCAATTGAACAATAAAATAATACATTAAATAAACATTTTCCAAATGCTCCTCAGTTGAGTTAAAAAATAATAATAAATTTAAGCTCTTAAAAATTATTTATCAATTTGTTATTTGTTACTACAATATGGTTCAGCAAGGATTTAAAGTGATCAAAAGTAAAAGCAAAGACATTTATAATGTTACAAAAGATTTCTGTTTCAAATAAATGCTTTTATTTTGTTTTGTACCATTCATTAAAGAATCCTGATAAAAAATGCATCATGGTTTCCACAAAAATATGAAGCAGCACAACTGTTCAACATTGATAATAATAAAAAATGTTTCTTGAGCAACATATCAGCATATTAAAATGATTTCTGAAGGATCATGTGACACCGAAGACTGGAGTAATGATGCTGAATATTCAGCCTTGTAATTACATTTGAACTATTTTTAAATAGAAAAAGAGTAATAATTCTCAATATTACTGTTTTTACTGTATGTTTGGTCAAATAAATGCAGCATTTATCGTTGAGACTTCATATGATGCGATTTCAAGTTTTCCTTTCTCTTTGGAGCTCTTGGTGCATAAAGAAGATCTGTAAAGTTGCAAAGACTAAAGTCTCAAATCCAAAGAGATATTCTTTATAAAAGTTAAGAGTCAGCCACGCCTACCTAAAACGGCTCGTTCTAACACGCCCCCACATGTCTACGTCACTATGTGGGAAGATTTGCATAACGCCGCCCAAATGTTCACGCAAAGAAATAAGGCGTAACTTTTATTCTCGTTTTAATATTGTTGCCGCCGCCGCCATGTCGTGAAGGCACTGTGTGATTCGTTGTGAAAGCAAAACTACTTTGTTTGGCCTTCCAAATGAGGATGATATCCGCTTCATCATGCCTGCCATGGTTTTATGTTTATGCGGCGCGATGCAATGCAACACGTAAAAAGACAGTATAAGTCATTATAATCCGTAATTATGTCCCCACTGGATGCAACAAATGCCTCATTTATAATGGGTTTTCATGTTTTTGTCTCGTCGCTCCGGCCGAAGAGGGCATCCCAATATGGCAAGGGGCGTAACATTTCCGTCACATGCTTGAGGTATTCGCCTATCACAACGCACTGGATAGCTGGCCAATCAGAGCACACCTTGCTTTTCAGACCGATGAGCTTTGTAAAAATCGACGCGTTTCAGAAAGGCGGGGCATAGAGGAGAAACAATAATGTACAGTATGTGGAAAATAATGTGTTTTCTTAACCTTAAATCGCATAAACACATTTCATTACACCAAAAACACAAAATAATGTTCTTTTTAGCAACATCATATGACTCCTTTAAAAACTAACAATATAAACATTAAATAATCAATATAAAATATGTATGTTATTTGTCAGTTTTGTAATTTTTTTTATTTTTTCATTCATAAATTGATGACTAATTTATTTTTCAAGTGGCACTTCTAGTCTTCCTTACAAGTTTAGGTATTAGAAATTCACAGATTCTTGTTCTTTACTTGAGTAGCTGTGCATCAAGGTTGCACTTAATATAAAACGTAAAACACATTTATAGGCTCATATACATAAACATGCAGAAACAAGTGTCATGCATACGCAGGCAAACACATAAAGCTCCAGTCATACACAGACAGCTAGACAGGCAGGTGTTAGATAGATGGAGCGCACAGACAGACAGACAAACACAAACACATGCACACACAGACAGACACACAGACAGGTCTACATGTCAAGCACAGTCTAGCCAAAAAACAGACATGAGTCCAGAGGTCTGTCTGTCTGTGTGTCTGTCTATCGGTCTGTCCGTCATTGCAAGACAGACATAGATCCTCCAATCAGAGACGATGCACAATATGGGTAAAGTCCCGCCCCCTCCCATATTTCTGTCCACTGTCAAAAATCATGCTGTCCAAATTACATCACTCTTTCAAATCTATTGCAGTCCGCCTTGCTGCTTCTTCCTCCCTGCTTTTTAACATTCCCTGTTTCTCTCTCTCTCTCAATTATTCTGTTTTGAAAGATCATATTTGCTGTTTTCATAAAATTAGATCTGACATCAACACTTCTTCTCACTTCATTCACATTTCCATGTGCTTTAAATTCTATATTCTAAATTTAGATATATTACAAATTCCCTGAATTCATTCCTCAATTTAAATATCTTTTTGTGTCCTTTTGGAAAAAGAGCTAAAGATTCTGATAGTGAAAATGTCACATCTCTCTAACTCTCTTCCACCTTTTCTCTCCCTGGATCCTGGCTCTCATCCTTCCCTGTGTCCCTTTGGTGTGGCATGTCATTCTTGCGTCTCTCCATGGTCCTCTTCTCCTGGTTCCTCTCTGCGCCTCTCTCTTTCTCTATGCAGGACTCCAAACGTTTCCTCCAATGGCAACCCTGGTTATGAGAACCTGCCTTTGAGTGACAGGCAGTCCCCACCCCCCTCTGTGAGTTCCCTTGTCTTTGTCACATCTCTGCGATCTGTGGCATTCTCATGATTCATTGTGTTAAGATTCACACAGACTGACACACGGATCAGACTAAATGACCGTTCGCTAAGCCCCGCCTTAAAACGTTACTGACCAGTCGCAATCCACCATGTTATCAGACAAACTTGTGCTATTTTTTTATATAATCCTATAGAAGTCCTATTTGTTTCGATGATGTTTTGTGGAATGTGTTCACTACTGTGCGAAAGTTTTGGGTTGGTACAATTGATTTATTTATTTTTAAGAAGTCTCTTATTCTCATCAAGGCTGCATTTATTTGATCAAAAAATACAGTAAGACTGTAATATGTTGAAATATTATTACAATGATCAATTTTAATATAATTTATTCCTGTGATGCAACGCTGAATTTTCAGCATCATTACTCCAGTCTTCAGTGTCACATGATCCTTCAAAAATCATTCTAATATACTGATTTAGTGCTCAAGAAACATTTCTTGTTATTAACTATGTTGAAAACAGATGTGCTACTTAATATTTCAAAAGTTCAAGAGAACATAATTTATTTATATTTACATTTTATTTACATTTTTCATATGTACAATGTCACTTAATCAATGTAATGCATCCTTCCTATAAAAGCATTATTTAAAAAAAAAAAAAATTATTGACCCTAACATTTTCAACAGTAGTATATGTTAAGACATAATATATTTTCATATTTTATTTAAAAAAATGTTACAAAAAAATTAGCATTGTCATATTTCATGTAGAAACCATATCCATTTAATTTTAATCACTTTAACTTGAAAAAAAGTCTCCAGTTCATTCCAATGGGACATTCTGAAAAGCTTGCCTGGGTTAGTGACAGTAACTAAGGGGGTGGAGCTTAGTAAAGGGTATAAATATATTGTGAGAAAACAACGGTAGGATACCTAAGATTTTTTAAATGTATGTAAGTATGCACTTACGATTTAATCTTTAAATGAATATATACTTTTCTCTTTCCTTTATTCTCTCCTCCACTCGCGGATCCGGCTTCTCTTCGGACTCCTCTTCCGTGTGGTTTTCTGAAAGTACAGTACTCTCCCAGCATGCTGACTGGCTACGGCGGCAGTCAATCACACTCCAACCCGTCCCATTCAAGAAACCTGTACTCACACTAATTATTTTTCTGTACAGTAGAAAAGACAGATATAGAGCAAGGTTTAGTTTTCATATGGATGGACACTTTATGAGACGAGAGACTAATTTAAAACTCTAGATGTTAAATATCTGTGTGTAACGTCAGTACCATTGAGTCATTTGGGTGTAACAGACAGAAAAGGCTGTGCGCGTCATATATAGTCGTCTGATCCTATCACTTCCTCTCCCTCTAGTGTCATGCTGTACATAGCTGGTGGAAACAAGATGGTATTGACGTTACAGTAGTGGTCTATTTTTAAATGTATAACCACTTTATTTTGGAGGTTTTATATTGTTACATGTAGTCACAGATACGTAGTGGCAATGGCACAATTTCTTTGTATGATTATGCAGTTTTTTCTTCACCTTTCTTTCATTTTTTTAAATATTTGACAGGACCCTATTTTATAAGTGGCAATTCTGTATGACCTTGTATGCCCTCTGATACAATATGATTATTTATTTATATAATATAAATATATATATATTCACTGTATAAACGTTTGATTAATGCATTTTGATGATCAAAGAAAGAAAACAAATCTGTAAAACATTGTTGAGGGCTAGTGTCCGTTTCCTCTGCTGGCTCTGAGCAATACAACTGCGTTTTGCCATTTGCAATACAATGGCTACAATGTAAGCAGCAATAATCATCGGGACATCTTGCAAACACCATCTGTGTCTGTGTGTGTCAGAGGTTCTCATGACATGTTCGGTATATACCGTCTATAGATATATATATACAGTGGGGAAAAAATATATATATATATATATATATATTCATTTGAAATTGCATCGGTCCCTTCTCTTGGCTATCAACCTGTTGTTAATCCTTAAATAATGAGTTTCTATGCTCCTTTTGAATGGCATCCTTTTTCACTACAGAGTCTAATATAAATGAAATAAAAATACAGTAACAAAAGTGGAATGTCTGAAAATGTTTTTATGTCTTTACAGCTGCTGATGCAAAACACTACAAGCATCCTGCTAAATAAACCTATACCTGGTTATTACCTGCAATAGGTGAGAAAGATTTTCCACTACAAAATGTTGTTTTTATTACTTATTATATTAAATATGATTTAAATTATACATTCAAGATTATCTAAATTATTTGACCTGTCTAACTATATGAAGCACAGTATGTTATTCTATGTATGCCCAGTACTGAATCAACTAATTGAAATAAATTTTCACAATTACAGCTTTTACCTATAAAATTCAGTAAAGATTTATGCGGAAATGTTGTTAATGTTAACTAAAACTATTATTAATGGACACAAATCTGACAAAAAAAATGTATATTACAAAATGTTGGCTTGGCAACTGAAATAAAAACATTAAGTACATAAATTATTAAAACTAAAAGATAAAAAACAAAAAATAATAAATATTATTATTAAAAGAATTACTAAAACCTAAACTGAAATCTGACTATAAAAATAAAGCAAGATCAAAAATTAATAAATACTATTATAATAAATAATAAAATAGAACTGTTATCCAGTCCCTTTTTTAGATTATACCACTTCACATTCATGTATGTACAGTATATATATATATATATATATATTTTTCCCCCCACTAAAACACTTAAATTTTTTCCACAAATTCAACCACAATACGGTAGATATCTGACAGCTATAGTGCAGTATAGTGTCTACAGGAGCACTTAGCTCATAATTAGGCCTAGGAAATAAGATAAAATAATAAAAAAAACAATTAAAAGAATTTAATTAAATCCCACATTTATTTTATTAATTTTGGGCACTTTTTGTGGCATACTTGCCCAAAGTCATCAGACCCGGCTCTGCATTTAATATGACCCTTTTTGCAAATTCAATTGACTGATTTACTGACTTGATTAAATATCATTTGACAACAGAACACAAATCAACAAACATTAGTAATCAGACAAAAACAAAACAACATTTGTAGTCATAATGACAATTTCAAACAGCTCTTTCGCAAGCACTGAGCAAAAACAGTCCAAGTAGAAATTCAAATAAATAACAAATCAAATTTATTCAGTTTCCCTCCATTTGGTGGTTTTCACTGAGTCGATGTAAATGAGGCAGTTTGCAAGAGAGCTTGAAAGAGTAAAGGACGTGAGCATGAGATAGAGCTACAATCTCTTATCTCCTTTGTTTATGCATAGTAAGATCTACACTGACGTCTAAAAGGCAATGAACCATACATACTTGAACTCTAAAGTACCATTTCTGTGCATAGTTGTAACAAAGACACACAAATCTTTGATCTACTTCAGCAGTGGAGTGCATAGATAGAGATAAAGTGAGAGATGGTAGTTCCTGAGAGGAGAGAAAGAGAGAAAAGAGGAGAGTGACACGGCTGGCACAGCTATAGTAGTGTCTCCCACAAGCACAGCCAGTGTGACTTCAGATAAATGGCTCCTTCATATGAAGCAACACTAGATCATTCTCTCGGACTTCCCTTCGTGTGGATGAATGCGAGCATCTTCCTGTAGTGCTGCTCTCCATAAAGCTTCTCGGCGCTCCAGTGTTTCTCTTTTTCTCTGCCATTACTCCACATTGAGAGAGAGAAAGAGAGAGAGAATGTTCAGTTTCATCACTTCCTGGTGTCGTCTGCTTTCAGCCACGTCCCATCGTCGTCTACTTCCTTTTGGACGACAAGGAGCATTTCTGCAACGTCCTGAGAAAGCTGCTCAGTGAGAAATGACCTGGGAGGAGGAAGAATGAAGAATCAATAAAAACAAAGATCATCATCTATTGGGTTTCATTCACTAATAACTGCACACAAGTGTCTGGCGTTTTCAAAACCAGTTATTGAATTTCTCGTGTTAAAATCATTTTAGCTTACGTTAGTAAAGCAAGTTTAATTTGTATTTATCAGGGTCTATAAACATGGTTTTATTAGTAATTATGAACAAATCACTTTTTAAGTGAGCCTAAAAAAAATACAGCAAATCTAGTATAGTCTGATTCATGAATAAATGATTCTTATCAGCTGGTTCTTTTTTTAGAGAATCGGAATCATACAGCGCAAACTAAGCCGACCAATTCAAGAGCAAAATACTTTTACATACGTTTTTATGAATTGTAATGAATAATTTATAGGTGGCATATCATGAAAATCTGACTTTTCCAGGTTTTAAGTGCTATAATCAGGTCCCCAGTGCATCTACCAACCAAGGCGCGTCTGAGAAAGCGAGCTCGTCTGATTTTGCTCCCTTGGTGACGTGGCAAAGGGATCTCATTATAATATTACCGCCCTTTAATCTGTAAGTTTCCACCCACAGCGCCATCATTGTGTTTTCGCAAGCGACAACGGTGTACCAGTTCTAATGCCATGGCGAAAGTTTGAGCAAAACATGCTAACTGTTCTGCCTTTGGCTGCACAGACGAGCACAGAACACTGTTTAGAGTCCCAGCCTCAGAGGAGTCAAGACAGCATTGGATTTATTGACTGTATATTTCTGCTGCCACACAGGTCTAAAATAAACATGCAATTTATTTCCAAGCTGTTTACCTTCACAGACATAACCGACTGTTTTTGTAACTCGTGTGTTTTAAACGTAAACTTGTGTGTGAATGAGAACTTAGTTTAGTACTCGCATGCTGTGACAGCTGCTTTCTGTCTGTGTGCTTCTGATGTGAGCACTCAGAAAACCGTATATAAGAAGTTTCAACTCGTATGGTTTAAAACACATGATTTCAGCGTGATAAACATGATAATCAGAACCAAAACAGATGTTTTTAGCAGATATGAGCTGTAATGGCACAGCTCTACTCTGGAAAAGAGGGCGGGGAGCAGCAGCTCATTTGCATTTAAAGAGCCAAGCCCGAAAAACAACGTGTTTCTGCTTCCACTCAAATTAGGCATTTTCAAAATGATATAATAAATGATCTGTGGTGTATTTTTGAGCTGAAACTTCACAGACACATTCTGGGGACACCAGAGACTTATATTACATATTGTAAAAAGTGGCATAATATGTCTCCTTTAAAAAGGCAAACTCATAAGTAATAATTTAATCCATCTGATGAATCTTTCACTGAATAAACAGTTTTTTTGGAATTATTATATAGTGTTACAGTTTTCATTAAAGGGGTCATATGATGCGATTTAAATTTTTCCTTTCTCTTTGGAGTGTTACAAGCTCTTGGTGCATAAAGAAGATCTGTAAAGTTGCAAAAACTAAAGTCTCAAATCCAAAGAGATATTCTTTATAAAAGTTTAGAGTCAACCACGCCTACCTAAAACGGCTCGTTCTAACACGCCCCCACATATCTACGTCACGATGTGGGAAGATTTGCATAACGCCGCCCAAATGTTCACGCAAAGAAAGAAAGCGTAACTTTTATTCTCGCTGTAGTATTGTTGCCGCCGCCATGTCGTGGAGACGCTGTGTTTTGTTGTGAAAGCGAAACTACTTTGTTTGGCCTTCCAAAAGAGGACGATATCCGCTTCGTCATGCCTGGAGCTGATCCGTGCTGGTTGCTGCGGAAATACATCAACTTCGAGCTGTGGATCGCCGGATCGGCTTTCACCGTGGACGAAGCGGAGTCCAGCCCGGGGTCGTCACATGTGGCTGCTGCAAGCCCTCCTGACGCTCCTTCGTCAAATCCGCCGGCTGCACCATTCTCTAGGCCTCCGGCCTCCGCACACTCAAAGCCGCGGTGTGTGATGCGGTTTCGTTGTGAAAGCGAAACTACTTTGTTTGGTCTTCCAAAAGAGGACACGACTAGAAATCAGTGGTTAAGTTGTATTTACAACACTGTTCCAGAACAGTTCAACCCAAATATTCAGATGTGTGCAGCACATTTTATGGAGGACCGTTTCCTGATCCTTGGAGAGTAGATTACAATGCCGGCTGTTCTGACTCACATACTGTAAGTAAGTTTTTTTATAATTAAAGAATTTGCCACTGATGATTCAAATGCGAGTTTTGAGCAGTGTAGAGTAGCGCTTGTTGTTTGTCATTTCTCTGATCACAAATGCAGACATGGTTTTATGTCAACGCGTAAAAAGACAGTATAAGTCATTATAATCCGTTATTATGTCCCCACTGGATGCAACGAATGCCTCGTTTATAATGGGTTTTAATTAGGGCTGCACGATAAATCACATGCGATATTTAATGCGCATCTTACTGATAAGATGCGTGTTAAATATCACATGCGATTTATCGTGCAGCCCTAGTTTTAATATTTTTGTCTTGTCGCTTCGGTCGGGACACGGCATCACAGTATGATAAGGGCCGTAACATTTCCATCACACGCTTGAGGAATTTGGCCAATCACAATGCACTGGATAGCTGGCCAATCAGAGCACACCTCGCTTTTCAGAACGACGAGCTTTGTAAAAATCGACGTGTTTCAGAAAGGCGGGGCATAGAGGAGAAACAATAATATGTACAGTATGTGGAAAATAATGTGTTTTTTTAAACCTTAAACCGCATTTCATTACACCAAATAATGTTCTTTTTAGCAAACATCATATGACCCCTTTAATGTTTTGACTTTGCTTTTATTTTTATATTTTAAGTTTTCTATTAAATTTTTTGTAATTTTATGTGCTTTTGTCATTCATATTAATTTTTTTAATATTTTAAGATTTATTTCAGTTTTATTTCAGTTAGTACTTGAATTGCTTAAACTTATTTTACTCATTTTCATTCAGTTTGTTTTTTTAATCTAATATTTATATTTTATGTGAGCTAGTTCAGTTTTAGTAAAGAATAACAACAATACAAGGTCACTTTAAAGCTTACTAATTTTTGTGAGTGTTATTGAAAGTTAAAAGGTTCTTCGTATATAATATCTTTCACATACTAAAACAGAGTGTATAAATGAATCAAATCAAACTGTATCGGTATTGAATTGGGAGATGTGTGTTGGCATGTGTGTTGTCTGTCTTATATGATATGATCACGCCACAATACATACAAATGCAAATGAGGTCCAGAAGATCAGGTGATCCATCTCGACTGTATGTCTGTTGTCTCCTGTGATATTACCAACCATCTGCCATTATAGTCCTGCTCTTGTTCTGATTGAATTACCTGTTCTGCGTCATTATAATTGTGTCTGGGCTACATTGTGCTGATTATCAAAGACATTTGGATATATGTAGGTCTCATTTATTCATTTTACTGTGTATACACCTGGAAAGTGTAAATTTATATGCACTAGTGTTTTCTTGCAATAATTAGTTTGTACTGTTTATAAAGTAATTTAAAAAACATTTATAAGTAATCCATAGACTCACCTGAGTTCTGCTTCTCCGCCAATACAGGCAGGCCCTTTTAATTTCGAGTCTAGGTTATAAAACTGTCCATTGACGTCCCGTACCGCAAGCCAGTGTCTGCGTCTCAGCGGGAGAGACACAATTCCCAGTGACACCCTTGATGGGACATTCAAAATGAAGCCCTGAATTTTGTCCAGGCACAAATTCTGTACTGACCTACAGCATACGAGAGATATGGAGAAAAATGAACTCACCTTTTATGACCATCCCATGATTTATAAAGTGACACTGAGCTGCTCTCACACTCACCGGCGTTTGTCCCACCAAACAGCAGCGAGCCCCCGACTCTGCAAAGCTGCCATGATGACATTGACATCATAGTTTCCCGTGCCCAACACTGAGCGGTGTGGATTCATCACACACTGTGGGGCAAGTCTGCAAAGAAACAACAGACCACTTTGGATTTGAGAATATAGAACAATACAAAGGGGAATTCATTTATGGCCTGTATGTATATATATATATGTGTGTGTGTGTGTGTAACGCACCGCTTGCAGATGTCATCTGCTGTCTCTTTGGTAAAAACTCTCTCTTGAAGCACGTTGTTCAAGGCATGGATAGCGCACAGCTCCAGTCTCTGTTTCTCATGAAACACCTCGCCCTCGCTCATACTCACCCTGCCATCACAAGTACATTCAGCCCGTCGATTAACATTGTAGTAAAGTTACGCCCAAGAGCACATGACTGATACATAACAAAATCATCCTCATACCTTCTGGAAGACAGAATCCGTGTTGCAATGATTTATCCACAGTAAGAAACTACCGCTGCTTAGACGTACCGTGACACTAACCCTTACTGTTCCATCACACTGTTGATAATAACTAACCCTACAAGTATCTGTGAAGAGAACGCTATCTGTTTCTCGTCTGTGAGGATCGGCCGGAAGTTGTGCTGTTGATGCGTGGAGGAAACGCCCCTTGCGGTCATCTAGCAGTACACATGTGAGCTCCACAGGGGGCGCTAATTATCAAAACCCTCTTGTGTAAAAGTGAAATCATTTTGATCTCAGCCTTTCAGTAGAGACAAGGAAATTCATATATTATTTTATAATTTTTGGAAGTTCTATAGAGACCAAAATTTGATTCCTGGCTGTAAACTGTACTGTTATAATATTTTGTATAAATGTAAAAGATTATTTAACATGTTTTATTATTATTATTATTGTTGTTGTTGTTAAAACAGACACTTATATTATTATACACTTGCGTTACTTTACATGTTCTTTATTGTCGTACAATTTAACCAGTTAACTTTCAAATTTTGAACGTTATATATTCTGAAAACAATCTGCAAGCTTTTTTACTACTAAAAAAATGTAAAAACTAAAAAATATACTGCGAAAACAAGTCGTACAAAACGAAACGTAGCTTTAGGGTTGGAGTGCCCTCTAGCGGTCGTTCAGTAGTACAGCACACTTATTATCAGATTGATTTGTGGGTTCAGTCAGTGTCAGAAAATAATTTCTTTTCATTGACTCTCATTCAGCGGGCTTGCCTCAGTTAAATCAGTTGTAATGACGACCTAAACGACGGATTAAGGGATAAAACAACTAGTTTTAACTCATGTAGAGTGAGTTTTAGGTCCATAGGCCTAACTGATAACGTAAATTATCAATATCAGGCATGTATGACTTTTAATATTTTATATGATACATTTGCTATTTTCTTTACAATGTGTTTAATTTAAAATTGAATTATTATCATTAATAAATATTGTAATTATCTATACAAATAGTCAGTAAATCAATTTGTTTATGTTGCTTTGCACTATTTTCACAGATTTTAATTCTCAGGAAATAGTTGCTGCGAGTTAATTTATGACCATGTGATTCACAACTCAATTTATTTGAAATATACAAGATGGCTCATCGTAACAGGCTACAAATGATTTAGGTTCAGCAAAAACGTAGCCTATTACTTTGTATAAAGACCATTGCAGAGTGGCAATAAATGCTTTGAACCCCTTGTTGATGTTATTTCGAAGTGTTTCGTTGGATCATGAACTGAAACAGCATTTGTCCCTGCCTTTGGGAGGGCATGAGTTATTCAAACGCACCTATTACCAAAGAGCATTTTTCGCATTCTCAACTTTCTCTGGTCCGTGAGGTTTCCAAGGTCTACTGCGTCAGCGTAACACAAGCTTCTGATTGGCTAGAGGGATTTAATTGTTGAGCACATGCAACGCTTCTCAGACTCTGATTGGTTAAACCTCTTTCGAACTGCTTCTTAGACGAACTGTATTTTTGTTCCTGTGTCAAAAGACTGCTAGCTGATAACAGGCTACGGTGGCAGTTAGCAATCCAGCAAACCAACTTTATCAGATGAAATTGACAACACATTGGACTTTAAAAGTTTTAGACGGCACATTTCATATGAGGACAACATCGGATAGCAGTTTCACAAAGGAAAGCTCTGGAGAATAGTTTAGATAGTTTCATTACTCGGCAAGCCCATCGTTAGCTTAGCTTAGCCTGGTCTGGTAGCAGCACCAGCCGACCGACGTTACAGTGAGAAATTGGTTTTGATAAATTGTAAATTCTTTAAACGTCTTAGTATATTTTGCAGTCTTGATTGATTGCATCTTTTAGATTCGTTGTCGGTGGTTTCGCAGCCAGAGCAACACCTAGTGGCCCAGTCAGAGCAGCCGGCCAAGGGTAGCAGTTAGCCAAGTTTTCTCATTTGAGACTAATTTGCTGGCTATTGTAAAACCCCACACAGCTGGAAATGGTACGTTTAATTTCAAAATCGAGGCATGGTGCTTCAAACTGTTAGGTTAATATAAGAAAATAGGGTTTCTGTCTTTTCTCATTACTTTTTTTTTAGCAGTTTAGGTGGAAGTATATCATCAGAAGGTACAAGCTGTAACTTAATTTACGACTAAAACTTTATCATTCACATAGCTGATTTCATTTTTTCGTCCTGTTTTGACTTTAATTTGTACCTTTTCACTGTCGTGAGCTAGTAGAACAGATATACTTCTGATGTTGAACTTGCAGTCATGTGCCATTCCTTGAAGTACTTGGTATTAGATCATTAATTAACTTTGTTGCTTAAAATAAGTGTATTTTCAGGATTGTTGCTCTCCTAAACCTGCCATGAAACAAGACGCGTATATTGAATTTAGTAGTCTTTTTTTGGGCATGTTTACCAGCAAATGTCACTTTGTAGCTATTAATGCTGTATAGTGTACATGCTTGCGACATTGATTTTCTTTTTTTTTTTTTGTAGAATTCAAACGTGGAGAACTTGCCGCCTCAAGTGTTGAGACTGGTCTATAAAGAGGTTTCCGCCTTGGCAGCAGACCCTCCAGAGGGGATCAAAGTCTACCCCAGTGAAGAGGATATCACAGAGCTGCACACTGCCATTGAGGGCCCAGGTAAGTAGTGCATTTGATTATTTTTCCTTTTTAAGGACCATAGCGTAACTTAATTTACCTTTTCCCCTGTTTCTCAACAGAAGGAACTCCATATGCAGGAGGGGTGTTCCGGATGCGTTTGGTCCTTGGGAAGGATTTTCCTGCTGCACCACCCAGAGGCTATTTCCTTACAAAGATTTTCCATCCTAATGTTGGGCACAAGGGTGAGATCTGTGTCAATGTGCTGAAAAGAGACTGGAAGGCAGAGCTGGGCCTGAGACATGTATTGCTAGTAAGTAGTATTTTTTTTATTTATATTTTTTTTACTGTTCTGGTAAACCTAGATTTAAATGCAGGTAAAAAATTAGGGCTGTGACGGTCGCCGTGACAACCGTGTCACGGCAGGTTTGAGTGCAGGAAAATAGTTTATTCAGCAAATTAATTTTGTGTTGGGCGATGGACCTTGTTGGGAAACCAAATACTACATCGCCGATCTGAAGCCATCACCTTTCATGTCACCCATCTGCGTTTGTACAAGTGTCTTCAAGTTCCCATGATTGCAAACGCCTGGCTGGTCAGGTTTCGTGAGGCTTTCTCCAAACTGGCCAAATACAAACGAGACCGCAGATAAATGGAATATGTTAACAAGAAATGTGGGAATGATTCCTATTTCAAAGAGAGCCCATGCAGACGAGGAGTTAATGTGCCCGCTTGCTTGGCGGCGGAACAGTGAACCATGTCTACACCGGACACAACACTGCCACATCGCAACAGGTTGAGTCTGTCTACACCGGACATTTGAACTGTGTCAGTACCTCATAAACAGGACGAGGCAGTTTACTGTCGGGGATTTGTCATGTCGTGTCGCGCCGCATCCAGTGTAGCATCACTGATTATAATGAGTTAGTATTTTGTTGTCTCGGTGCATTCACACTTTCACATGTGCTGCTGATATGATTAGTCAAATTATGTTAGCTGGTCATTTTGTGTCAGGATAAATTTTTTTTATCAATTATTTAAAATGCATCTGATCACTCTACACAATCTAGAAAAAAAAGTTTTGGCAGTGACATACATTTTGTTTTGCAAAGTTTGGTGCTTAACCCTTTAGAACCTAAAGCTAAAATAGGCCGTTTTCACTCATTTTGGTTTTTTGAGTATAAAATTATAACACAATGTGGTATCTTCAAGTGTAAGGTGTCATTTTTTTCAGAAAATGATTGGCTTTCAGGAAATTACAGTTATTGTACATTATTGTGTGTGGTGAGTTAGTAAATAGAATTTAAATAGACAAAAAATTAAAAAACGGGAAGAAATTTAACTGCTTTTTATTTAGAAAAAATCTGAAAACTCATGAACGAAAGAATCTAATGCCTCAGTCTTGAAAAAGGAACTATAATACATATATACAAGTCTTTTTGGGACACTAGATTGCACAGTTTTCACTCAGGAGACATTTGTTTTACCCCAGTTCTCCAGGCGTTTTTGGATCCTTCAATCCAGTCATTTAAATGTGGTGCTCTCTGAAGCAGTTCCTGTCTAACTGCAAACATAGTCCCACATCACATTCCTGGCACTTCCATGGGGTGCTCCTTTTGCATCGTATGCAACGACGCCGACCCATGCTGGCCCTCTCTGAAAGGTTTTGAGTGTTACTCACAGGAACAGGCAGATGATCACATCTCTCTCTCGGGCTGCCATCCAGGGGAACACCTGTGAGCTGAGCAGCTAGCAGCTCCTGAAAGTTTTGCCGTGTCATGCACTTGTCATGGTGGATGGCACACAGCTCTTTGTGTAAAATGAAGCTGTTGGTCACTGCAATGTCTAGGAAGTGCTGGAAAATTGTCATGTACCACTTCCGTGTTTTACGGTGCACAGAATTTGTTCCGAGCATCTGGTCAGAGGTGTCAACTCCTCCCATATACTTATTGTACTGCTGAACTGCTGTTGGCCTGGGAACAGGGACCTTCTCTTTTCGCCCATCCTCTGTCGTCTGCCACCTTAGCACAGTCTCCCCGCTGTACACTGTGTGGATAGTTGTGCACATGGAGACCTCCCTTGTGTCCATCCACTTCACAAACAAAAGGACATCATTTCTGATCCAGCGAATGGAGCCTCTTGGTGACCTTTTGTTCAAGGCATTTTGTTTGGTTGAGGGAACACCAACTCTTCCTTCTCGATAAGTTCCACATGTGCCAAATCCCAGCTGGTGCAGATGTCGAAAGAGGAGAGGGCTTGTGTAGAAATTGTCACAGTAAATCACATAGCCTGACCCCAGGTAGTCTCGGTTCACCAATGATGTGACAACATCAAAAGACAGGCCTTTCCCAGATGCAAATTTTGACTTCCCAGTGTAGATTTTGAAGTCAATGGTGTAGCCGTTGACATCAGCTAACACAAAAAGTTTTATGCCCCACTTAGTAGGCTTGGCCTTCATATATTGCTTGAAGGATATCCTGGCTTTGGTGGCAATCATCCTCTCATCAACAGAAATGTGCTGTCTAGGATGGTAAATAGACATGCACCTGTTCCTCATAATGTCCAATAGTGGTTGCACTCTGTGGAGACAGTCATATTCCTCTGTGCCCCTTTTCTTGTCATTTTCTGCATCTTCCATTGGATCACTGATGTGCAGATTGCAGGAGATTGCTAAGAAACGATCCCTGGACATCACAGTAGCAGGAAAGGGAACATGAAACAAAGTCTTCTTCCTCCAGAAGTCCCTCACTTTTGGTAGATCCATCACACCCATGTAGAGAAGCAGACCTATGTACTTCTTCATTTCTTCAGGGTATACATCAGCCCATGTGAATTTCCTACCCCTCTCCAGATTTCTCACCGCATTCTTGTTTGTGTTTGCACACAAGATGTTTATGACCTCTTCGTCAAAATATTGACTGAAAATATCAAGTGGAGACTTTTTTCCAAATGTGAGTGGAGGCTGCACTCCAGGTATTCTTTTAGGAGTAAACCTTGGAATATTGGGCACTATATCAGGATCTGCATCTGTGTTCCATCTACCATCATGTGATACTGGTGAGAGGCTACGTGATTCCTCAAGGCCATGAATGCGCCCCCGGCTACGGCTGCGACCACTGCTATGGCTGCGACCAC